AGCAGAGGGAAGTTTCCGACATGCACCGTTTGCCATGAAAAGCTGTTTACCTGGGCCCTCTGAGCTACACCCTGAAACCTTTTATCTATTTCTAACAAAACAGGAGTTTCCCTTTTTGCAAAACAGCTTAGGCTTGTTTGCAAATCAATGCTGCGTCTGTTGCTTTCACTTTACCTCCCGTCCGTGTTTCAACATATGAAATAACCTCAGTATGAATTCAGTGATGAATGAAGATCTGTTTTCCCAGAGAGCTTATCAGGAGGTCAGAAGAAAAAACATTGAAGTTAATTTAAGTTTTACAAGATTTTTCTTCTGTTTTTTAGATTTACGGATTATTTCTGTATGTAAATGAGAGATAAAATATTTAGTTACCCCCAGCAGGTAGTGCTTTGCATAGGCATGTGTTAGCATGTGTTGCTCTCTTATGTCTCATATGTCAAAACAAACAATATTTTTTTGCATCAGACTGTTAAAGCTGTAAGAAATGTTTAAAGGAGCAAGGTTCAGGCTTCCTGATGAAGCTTCTAATCTATGTAGATCTAGACTGCTTGCTCTAAATGGTAATATTTTTTATTAAAAACTATACATTTTTTAAGAGGAAAAAGGTTTTAAAAGTAGTCTAGCTTCAGGGTGGGATACATTTAGTGTTTTTTTTTTTAACCTTTTATGCCCTGAGTTCTATGCTTTATATATCTATACTGAAATAAATCGACAACAGCTTCACAAAGGGGAACATTATAAAGATCCAACACTAACCATCATATCCAAGGGAACCGCTTTCATAGCTGTAACCACATCTGATTTATTTCTGTTCAAACAAAGAAAAAATATAACTTCTTTAGCCTATTGTTCTGTTTTTAATTAAATTAACAGTAAAAAACAACAGAAACCCTTTAAGCAGGGGTTTTCCAGGCCAAGGATCCCCAAACTGGTGGGAGATGGAGCGGGGACCCCCTAATTATATATGATTATATATGAAATTATGTTATAGCAAACTGGTCCTATAGTCACTCTATTACATATGGAGTAATGTAACTAAAGTATTTTCTCCCTGGGATTATTAACGTATTTCTGATTCCTGGTTGATGGGACAGGTGTTGTGAATGAAAAGGTTCCCAGTTTGAAAGAGCTCCTGTGTGTCGCTGAATGTGTTCATTGATGACTGAAAACAATCTTCTGCCTCCATTTATCTGTTTACTACAGTGAGTTGAATTCATGTTAATGTGGATTTAAAGACATTATAATTAGTGGAAAAATTGCATATAAAAGAAAAGTCTTATCAACCAAAACTTTCGCGACCCCCATGCAGTACCTCTGTGGACCCCCTAGGGGCCCCGTTGAAAACCTCCGCCTTAAAGCCATCAGCTCAGATAGACTAAACTAAGGCCTTAATTGGTATTAAAATGTCTTAAATCAGTCTTTCGTAGGTCTTATTTTTAAATCATAAATAGGATAATTTTTATTACAATTTATTTTTGTAATCTAAATAAAACTTTAAAATTGACAAATTTTTTTCTTTTTATAAAAAAAAAAAAAAACGGCTCAGCATTACTGGTTCCGTCCCGATAGCGGAACCAATAAAATCGTTGTTGCTGCCGGGACATTTGGGAGATGCACCATTAACTTTTTGTCTGGAAAATATGAGCAAGTGTAAATGTAACCAAAATTGTCTCCAGCCAAGAGTTTTCTCCGTGGCTAAAACCAGGGAACATACATGAGGCTCAGTGGATTTTGTGCAAGAAGTCATTGAAGCTCAGAACGATGGGAATTAAGGCAGTGGAGTCGCACATGCGAAGCACGAAACACAAAGCGTCAAAATGGAGTTACAGAGAAACAGCCGGTATTTCTCAGTTTAGTTCCACCCTTGTCTCTGCAACGCCTCCACTTATCACCAAATCAAACATACTAAGAAAACCATACAAAGAAAAATAGCTGCTAAAAAGACTTAGCAATGGTTATGTTGGGGCTTTAAAACTGATTTGTTTTGTTCCCTGCTAAAACAAAGTTTGTGAATTCAGTTAAATAATTGTTAAAATATATCTGTCATTTGTGTGTTTTTAGCTTTCTTCCTGTATGGGAAGCTTTTCAAAATCTAAAACATTAGTGCAGTGGTTTATGTTAAAATAAACCTTTGGGTTAAGTTGTCGCAAGCAGGTTTTTCTGTGTTTCTTGTGGATTTGGTCTTAAATTTTTACTTCAAGTGGCATTAAAAAGTCTTAAAAGGTCTTGAAGTTAACTTGCCTTATGCTGTAGGAACCCTGATGACGGAGCCTTTGCTAGCAGGATTTACGCAATAGATCATCCACCGTGTTCGTTGAGCTATTAAAGTCACCACTACTGTTTAACCTTCACTTAGGTTCTCTGGAAAGATTGACCATCCTAGGATCCACTTGGGCCCCAAACTACATTTATGTTGGTTGATTTCTAATGGGAATGATTCAATAAGTGTCTGTACCTTTCTTTGGTTTTTTTTTTCCTTTATAAAAAAAAAAGAAATATATTTTTGTTTTTTGCACATCCATAGGGAGTATCATCATGTACGGAGCCATGCTTCTCTTCGAGTCGGAGTTTGTCCACATTGTGGCCATTTCCTTCACCGCCCTGATTCTGACCGAGCTGCTGATGGTGGCTCTGACCGTCCAGACGTGGCACTGGCTCATGATAGTTGGCGAACTCCTCAGCCTGTCGTGTTACATCGCTTCGCTCGTATTCCTGCATGAATTCATAGGTGAGTAAAGTCCGAATCCGTCCTAAGCTGAAGACGGATCATCGTGTAACGCTAATTGAGGCTAGGCCCCTGACTACGGCCAAGTTTGTTGGTATGGAAATCAGAAAGATTCGGCTGAGGAGCCTGTGTGTGAATAAACGAGGTCATACATAAAACAAAAATTAGCATTTAACCAGAGTTAAACTGCTATCCAGCAACTACACATTCAAAAACATACATAATTATATTCCAAATAATATTTGTCAGGAATCATTCAAATAAGTTTCAAGTTAATCACATTGTTACAGCTCAAGTAAAAAATATCAAAGTAAAGTCAGACAAGATATCAAAGTAAAGTGCACTTTTAAATTCTATCCAATTTTAATTGACACTGATGTCAATTAAAATTAATTTACTTGAATTCTATTTCAACAAACATTTAATTGGTTTCTGGTACGGATGCGCGATATTGGGATTTTGGCCGATATCCGACATGCCGATATTTTAAAACTCATGTAGCCGATAACCGATATCGATACCGATGTTAAAGCTGGACAAAAATAAGTAGTCATTAAAAATAGCAGTTTTGTTATCCATTTCTGACACTTTGAAAAATAATATACTCAAATATATTTTCATATGCTGATATCAAATTGATTTTTAAAAACGCGGTATCGATCTATTTTACTTTCAGAATCTGGTGAAATTTCATCGTTCTGTTACAAACTCTCGTGATATTTTGCAAATTCTTGTGAGATTTTGTTAGTAAAATAGATCGATACCGCGTCAATATATAAACATATAAAAATATGGCAAAATTTCGTGAATTTTCGGGGGATTTCGTAGCATAACGATGACATATAGCAATATTTCATTAGTAAAAGAGATTAATATGGTGTTTTTAAATGGCAATATATCAGCATATGAAGATATTGTGATATTTTAATGTATCAATATTTTTTCCTTCGTCTTTAGAAGTTTTTAAGTCTGTAAAAAGAAGTTTTTGAGGAAGAAGAAGAGTAGTATTTCTTTTTTTTTTTTTTAGACTTTAGAAACTCAGAAGCGGATCAAATATCGGGTTAAATATCGGTGGGGTGGCCGATGTCCGATATTCAGTTTAAAGGCCGATACCGGCCGATACCGATAGGGGGCCGATTATATCATGCATCCCTAGTTTCTGGATTTGTTGCGCAACTATGGAGAAACCAACCAAGTGCATAGTTCCATTGGCCGTTCACAAAATAAAAATAATAATAAGAAAAATTACTAAAATTATCCCTAAAGGACAAAATCAAAGGGCTTATCTAACGCTTTAATGGCATATCTTTCATTCGGCCATATAATTAACAAAAGAAAATATTTTTTTAGACCACAAAACCATTTTAAAACGCCAATACATAAGTTATAAGGGGGGCGTGTCGCCACCGAGTTTCTACTTAAAAAAAACACAAACGACAAAGGATCACCAACTCATCGTCGAGTGGTTGTCACGGCGCACTCATTGAAATGCTTCGGCTGTTTTCATTTAAGTCGATTTCCCAGTATTCTTCGGCGATTTAGGAAAACGCCAACGTGAGCAGCTAGCCACAGCAACAGAGGAGATCTGAGTTCACCTTCGACCCAGAACTTAAAGTGTGCTTTCCTGTTTGACCCGCCAAAATAAAATGCGGGTGATTATTTTATGCAGGTTACACTCGCGTTGCAGCGTTTTTTGTCTTTGAGAAGAAAAGACGGGTCTGATATCATTTCACTGCAGGCTGTGTTGTTTTTCTGCTTTTGGCTGGCCTTGAGTTATTACATGAGTATGAGGAGGGGGGGGGTCTGGTTTTTAATGGGTCTCCAGTGAGTGATAAGCTGTGGTATGCTGGATATCAGCAGGTCTGCTGGTGAATTTATTGACGTGACCTGATGAGCCTCAGGGCTGCTGTCGTATCAAACAGGAAATGTTTGGTTAGTTTCCTTTAAGCTTGTCTTTATAACACAAAGTGTTTTCATATTGAAGAAAAATCTCCTCTTTATGATGTGGATGCCATCAAAATCCCTTCAAAAGAAAAGAAAACTTTAAAAATTTATTTTGGGAATAATCTCTCTCTTTCATTGTGTTTATTGCCAGCCTGTTTAGCATCTATTTACTTTGGCAACCCCAAAATAATCCAGCTTTGCCTCCCTCCTCCATATTAAGGCTCCTGTGATACACAATGCTGTGACCAAAAGCTCTCCAGGTCTTTATTTTCAGCTTTATGTGGGGCGTGGAGCTCCATTTTCAGCCTGCAACCTCCACCGCTGAGGAGCATGACTGGCATGTGGTCAAGTTTACCCTTTTTGGACTCTTTCCCTCATGAACTCAGACTAAAATAAACCTTAGATGCTGGTTTTGTTGCATGTGCGGTTTATCTCTTTCACTGACAGTTTTCCCATTTTTCTTTCCCATCGACTCGATGTTTGAAGACGGAGATTCCAGGGAGAAATTATAAATGATTATTAGTTAATCAGTAGAAGATGTTCTCGTCTTATTAGGACTATTAAAGGGCTTTAAAACCCTCATCGTTCCAGTTTTATAGTTGGTAAAATTTCATTTATAGCATCAGTTTGGGGAACCGTCATTAAAACACATTAACTAAAGGTTTGTCTGAATAATAAAAACATTTATTTGTTCTTTGACAGAGTTTGGGTTTTTAGACACTGGCTGCCCATTAAAAGACTTAAAGGTTAAAAACAAGATTTTAAATTTACTTCTTATCACAAAGATCAATGAGACAAAACAATATCTAGTGCCTATTGTAATTAACTGTTGTTTAACCTGTTTTTTTTACAAAAAAATAATACATACATTGTATGTCTAGAGTGGCAGAGCATCAAAGAATTTGGTCCAAACGGGTCCATAATATGTAAACATTTACTTTTGTTGCGAAAGTTGAAATAAAATATGAAGTCAGAATTCAACCAAAAGATAAAAAAACAAAATAAATACATTTACGAGCAGTTTAATCCCCTAAAGACTCAATTAAATACATGTGTTGCTTAGTCCATATGATTAATTATTCAACAATAGAGGATCAAAAAGGGTTTTTTAATTTAAAAATTGATTTATGTTGATTTTTATTTAATTTTCATGTATTTACATGGTCATTACGTTTCTACAGTGCAATAACCAAAGTCAACTACTGTGTAGTGTTCCCTTAGCTCTATAGTATATAGTTCTATATCTAAGGAAAACATATTTCAGGACATTACAACTTTTTCCTTTTTATGCCTTTTGTACTATATAAACTCTTTTTATGTCTGTTTTTTTTTTTTTTTTTTTTTTTTTTTAAATGGCATCTTGTTTTAACTCTTTGTTCTCTATATAAGCTACTGGAACCAGAATTAGTCTTTATTGTTACAGGGGCATAGACCAGTATCGGGTGGGGGTGGAACGGTTCACAAATTCCACGGTTCGGTTCACGGTTTCGTGGTCACGGTTTTCGGTTCGGTATATGTTGATTGTTAGCATGACATGTTGGTCATGTTGCTGTTAGCATAAACAAAACGTGTTGCACAATGCTCGCACACTGTTGCACTTTTATCCACAACTTTCTTTCCGCCGTCAGCGTAGGTCACTCTAAATGCAAAGTGGTCCCATACAGCAGACCTATAAAGTGCTGCTGGCGCGTCTTCCAACTCCTGTTCTTTCCCACATTCTCCACAACTGATTTTTTTCCCTGCTACATCCGGCTACGCTGCTTCGCTTCTTCTTCTTCTTGTTTACTACTGATGGTTGGCTTTGGTCGCAGTACCGCCACCTTCTGCTGTGGAGTGTAAACGCTTCGCCTATGAGAAAAAGGAGCAGCGCATGAACCGAACGCAACACACGTGAACCGAACGGTTCGGACGGTTTTCATGAACCGTTCCATCCCTAATCAGAAGATTCCTGCAAAATTTAATGCTCAGCTGTTCATTTGCTCTAAACATTTTTATCAAAGACAGCTTTCAAAATCTTGGACAGTTCAAAGCAGGATTTGCTGTTCCGACCGTAAGGCCGTCGCAACCACAAGCTGGAAGCATGATTCTGCTGCTAAGCTGTTGATAGCAACGCTAGCATATATCATCAATTTGATGTTTCAGTGAGTAAGTGCTTGTTGCTATGATGCGTCTTTGCTCAGCAGCTTCGCTCGTTGTGAACCAACCAATCAGAGCACAGCTCATCTAAATATTCATGATCATACCATAAAAGGAAGAAAACTTGTCGTTTTTTTTGCATTAGGGCTCATAGAACAGCAAATATGCCTTTTTTAGCCCAACCAATGTTACACACCCTATTCAGAGACCTTTAGGACCAAATACCCTAAAGAATCATTCTATGAACCCTTTACACTTCTCCATAACAGTATCTCAGACCTTCCTGGTGTGTTCCTTGTTCTTTATGTTGCTCTCTGCATCTTAAACAGACGTCTGAGACGATCACAGGTGAAAAAGGAGCAGCGCATGAACCGAACGCAACACACGCGAACCGAACCGAGACAGTCCATCCCCAGTATCGGGTATTCAGGCTAGCAAAGAAGCCAAACGACTCCAATTTCTAAGGGGTGGACCCGTTCGTCCGTTTCTATTTGCATGTTTTCTGAGCCAAAGCAAGGCTTTGTTTTTGGTCCACGAACTCAAAGCTAATTCTGATATTTTGAAATGAAAAAACTTCCTTGATGGGAAGCGAAACGTCTTCAAACCTGGAGACGAAGTTTAAAACTCTTCAAAGGTCTCTGGCGTTGAACACCATAGAAATATGGCATGCAGAATTTTTTCCAGTACAACCAAAAGTTATGAACCGGAGCCTAAAACCTTTTTAATGTTTAATTAAAGTTCTGAGTTGTTGTTTTCTCCTCTTCATCACCCTGACCTGCGTTTCTTCCACTTTAACAGATGTTCACTTCATCACCACGGTGTCGTTCCTCTGGAAGGTGACGGCCATCACATTGGTGAGCTGTCTGCCTCTATACATCCTCAAGTACCTGCGCAGACGCTTCTCTCCTCCCAGTTACTCCAAGCTGACCTCCTAAACAGAATAAATGAGTTGAGTACTAAAAGAACAGAGAAGTCGCTCATCTTCCTCCTACCAGGGATCCAACGCCAGATTTATTCCTTTCATTGTGTTCTGAGAGACTCTGACAGGGACAGATTGTTTATTTAGAGTCTGTCAGTGAAAAGCAGTGTTAATTGCTCTGTGTGTTTGATGCATGGCAAACTCCTGCGGTAAATTGTAGTCCAGATTAAATGAACCTCATTCAACCAGTTTTATGAAATGTGTTTGCTGTCGGCGAACATGTGTGCATTAAAAAAATGCCCTCGAGACAAATGGAAACATCACTATGCTAATAAAAGTATAACAGCTGGGCAGGTGGTGCAGAGCCGAGTGTTTTATGGTGTGAGGAGGGAGGAAACTTAATAACACACCTTCTTATTTTGAAAGAAAAAAGGGAATTTGACGCAGAGGAGTTGATTCACTTTCTCCTCAAACAGCAGCTTGTAATTGAAGGTTTCGAATTATAACGTTTAAAAGGATTTTACAGCCCAGGCTTTGCTAAAACTAGACAGGATTAAATCGGTGTATCTGCTGATGCGTCAGCCCCAAAGCTACAGCTCAGCATGGCGGAGGTGTTGTGGCTTCTTTTATTTTGGGTTATTTTTAGCATGACCTCTGATGTTAAATCCGTCCCAGCATCTTGTTTTGGAGCCTGGATTGTTGGTGTTAGTGGAGCGCGGTCAGAATCCCGGCGACCTTTACGCCGGAACCCCTCCGTCAGGATTCACGTCGGCGGAGGGGAATACTCCGCCTCTAATGTGGCGGGCCGGCTGTGGCTGGATTCTCAGCCCTGCATGATGACTCACTTCGACAGTGAACCCAAAGCCATAGCTCAAAATACCCCCGGTGACCCACCGCCATCCCGAGGCGCAATCCTCGGGGGCGGCATCTCCTCTAACCTCTGAAATAGCTAAAAGGTTCAAGTTAAAATATCAAATATTCCCTGAATGTGCTCCTTTTTTTTGACAGACTGTTAGGGCCATACTAAGAATATATTCTTTTTTTAAATTATTGTTATAAAAATAAAGTCATAATATTATGAGAATGAGGTCATAATGTTAGCTCTACAGAACTAAAGCTGAAAATTACAAGATTAAAGCCTTAAAAGTGAAAATTTAAAGCTTTAACTCTACAAGAATGAAGTCATAACATCAAGAGAGTAAAGCAACTTTGCTGGATTAAATTAGTAACATGAGGGAATTAAATTCAGAAAATTACCAGAGTAAAAAAAAGTAACATTACCAGAATAAAGTCATAATATTACCGGATTAACGTCATAACATCAGGAAATTTAAGTCCTAACATTACGGGATTAAATTCATAACATTAACTTTATAAAAAAGTAACATGTCCAGATTAAAAATGTAACATTACTAGATTAAAGTTGTAACATGACCCTTGGATTAAAGCAGGAACTCTCCTCCAACCTGAAGGAAACAAGCCACCTTTTCCAGTCAAAAATAACATAAAATTACTAGAGTAAAAACAGTTACATTACCAAAGTAAAGTCATATGTTACATTACTGGATTAAAGTTGTTACATCAATGATTATAACGGCATATTACAAGAATAAAGAAGTAGCGTTCTGTGACGGTCGGAAATAGCTGCTCTCTGGGTCCAGATGTACGGCTCAGGCTGCGGTTGGATTTGATTTTGATGACTCTATCAAAGCTTTCACCTTATTAAAAATCATAAAAGTCTTAAAATATGTTGACTCAAATATTATTATGACTTAATTCTCATTATGACTTTATTTTTCTAATATGACATTTTTCCTCATATTATCAATTAATTCTCATAATGTTCCAACTTTATTCTTCTATGGTCCTAATCCTCTGTTGTATCATTTTCATGACTAACACTGCACTTTAACAGAAGCTAATGTAATGCTACACTCCTCGGTTCTTCTTTCACTCGTCTTGTGATGAACTGTAAATATTTACCACCCATAACAGAAATGTTACGTTCAAACCGAACGCAAATGCGGCAACTGGAGCGACTAATTCCATGTTATCCATGCGTGAAAGCGCGTTTAAAATCAGTCAGGGATGCGAAGGAAGGTTTATTCAGAGCACTGGTATGGCAAGCTCATTAAAGATATAATCACTAGATTGGACATTTATTGCAACATAATTATTTTCTAGTCAAAACACTTATGCAAAATATCTGTGGTTAGATTTTACCCAGCTTAAACTGATTTACATAAATCTATAACTGCAGTTTTCTATAGTCAGAATGTTAAATTAACTGATTAAATGTTAAATGCTTTGCCATATAACTTGATTGTGGTGCAAAAGGGAGCTGAAACGTCGGGCATCAGGTGATGGAAATTTCACATCATTGGTGTTGGTATCAAACGCACCTTAACATGAGCACACATCAGGTCACTCGTATTGGTTTTGTTGGTTCAAAGGACGGGAAACTAAGCATGAAACTTTGTACAAATCGTGCCATATCAACTCTTTTTTTCGGACTTCATTGAACTGGATTTTTTAAATTAATTTTGATAAAACCTGAATTCTTTTAGCTGTTTGCACATTTGTAAATACTCTGGGATATTTTTTTATGTCGTAATGAAAGTGTAAAGCATTAATAATGCTAATTTAATTTGCCTGTCTTTGCAAAACTTACCTTTAATTTAATTATGTTGATGCACTCAAGGGAACAGAACAAAAAAAAAAAGGGTGAAATGTGCTGATGTCAATATTGTGAATATTAATAAACATGTGGGAGCTTGACAAGTCTTTTTTTGTGGATGGTTTATTTCTGTTTATTATTTAGTTTACTCTAATAATCATGAGTTGAAAACAACGTCTCAACTGAATATTTTCAGCATTGATCAAAGCACTTCTGTTTATCCATTTAAATAGAGTTTTAAGTAAAAAATAGAACCAGTTTTCACATAGCTAATTTTTAATATGTATATTTTTTAAAGGGTTTACAGTAAGGAATGAAAGAGTCAACCTCAACACATTTTAAATGCATTCATTATTAACCTTTCATGGAGGGGTGATGAAGGTTTGACCAACCGGAGCTGATAGCTTTTCTATTGGCTTACAAACTATTTATCACTGACTGAATCATTTTCTCTAAAACTTCTGGGAAACTCATACGATAACTGCATGATTTGAATCATATTCAAATTGGAAAAATTAGTACATAAAAAAAGTCAAAGGAGGGAATTTAGTTCCATTTTTGATGCAAAGAGCATATTTTTTAAATTAAAATAAAACAAAAATGGTATCCAGAAATAAAACTGAAAAAGATTTATATTAAAAAAAAAAAGTTTTGGTAACTTTTCTGTTTTCTCTGATTTTTTATTTATTTTTTTGTTAGATATTTTTTTCCAATTTCTGTCTCTTTTTTTTATAGCTTTTATTTCTTTTATTTTTTTAGTTTTATCTTGTTTCTGGTTTTCAGATTGTGTTAAAGGAATTTCATTATTTTCGAATTGCAAAGATGGATTTTATTGGTCTGCTGCATTGTTTCTAAAGAGTGTGATCTGTGGAACATACAATTAATTTGTCAAACTTAACCAGAAAAATATAAAATCTGTAATAAAAAATAACAAATTAAAAAAAATATTTAATAAAACACATTTAAAACACACTAAAAATCATCTTAGAAAACAGCAACGTTACTCGTAAAATCTGTTTTCTGACTCAAAGGTTTGTTCCTCCCCTCACCAAATCTGGATCAATTTAAATGTCTGATAGAGAAAAGTTTTGACGTCAGACAAAACAAAGGTTGAACTGTTTGGTCCCAAAGACAAAAAATAGATTTAAATAAATTAAAGGGCAGCTTTCAAACCCAAGGACACAACAAGTTTTGTAAAATGAAAGTAGGTCTTCACCTAGATTGGAGAAAATCCATGATTCATTTAAATTTAACTTTAAAAGAATATAACAGATCCACCTCATTTTAAATAAGTCTAGAAAACAGAACCAAACATTTTAATGAAACAAATATGTTTCTGAAGCCAAGGCCGACATGGCCAAAAGCACGGCATGTCAAGAATATATAAAAGAAAAGGTTTCCTTTACATATTAAATCACATTGATTGCATGCAGCAGCACAGTTTGAGCCGACATCATGTCAGCAGCAGCTCCTCCGCAAAAAAAGTTCCCTTTAAACTGCTTCCACTTCAGTTCCTGATGAGGTGCGAGTTACAGATGGTCCTGCAGCAAAAACCTGGAATCCTGGATGTTAAGCCCTCGATCACCAGAGGAGGGAAGCACTGATACCAGGAGACAACCTCTGGGAATCCTCCTGCACACCTAGGCTGCACACTTCTTAAAACTTTCACCTCAGACAATAAGATCTACTAAATTAACAGGAAAAAAAAAACTTTTTACTCCTGTTTAGTCTGAAGAAATGGGTGAAAAACATGGATGTTTGCATCACAGGGTTCAGTTTCATTTGCAGTCATAAATATTTCCGTTTTTTTTTAGACTAAACCGTCCGCTTTCTTTATGTGTTTTATCAATAAAAGAAGTTATTAAAGTATACTAGCTCCATGGAAATAAAAGTTTCACTGCAGGATCAACAAAGCTGCCCACTAACCTCAACATTAAGAGCTTTCCTCTTTTATTAAAGGAAAAGTCCGATCAGCACAGAATAATCAATGGATCATTATCTGTAGCTAAAACTAATAGGTTTGTGGTGATTTAATGAATTTAGCGTTAATCAGTAAAAAAAAAAAAAAATATAATAATTTTCGTGGCTATCACTGAGTCTGGGAGCGGCCATTTTTTTTCCAAATATAGTAACACCCAGTGATGGGAGTAATGGCGTTACTAATCCGTAACGAGTGATCAAAATTATTACTCTTACTGTAACTATAACGCAGTTACCATTGCCGACACCCCGTTACTGCACGTTACTCAGGTCGCACAATTAACCTTTTTTCATGATAGGACTCGTGCGCGCGTCGTGAGAGAGGGGAGGATGGAGAGTGAGGAGGACTCCAGCAGCAAAACAGCGCTTTCCAGATGGAAATACTGGTGTTACGTGGAGCTGCGTTTCCCCATCAGATACGGTTTCCCCTGCATCTCCGCACAGCGCAGGCGGCATGATTCACTGCGCAAGCGACAGGAAACGCGCATGCTCGCTAAAGGCGCGTAACAGCCGCCCTGTGCTCGCGCCACAGGGGAACTATGGAGAGCGTGAACGATCATTAGCCTATATGGAGAAAGATGGATGGATGGATATAGCTACATGTTTTAGTATCTATAACAACCCAAACACAGGATTTCAGAATTAGACATCCCCAGTTATTAATTTCATACACTCGCAAAAGTAACGCAATAGTTACTTTTACTACTAACTAGTTACTTTTATTGTGGAGTAACTTAGTTACTAACTCAGTTACTTTTTGGGAGAAGTAACTAGTAACTATAACTAATTACTTTTTCAAAGTAACGTGCCCAACACTGGTAACCCCTCACTCCTGCCATCTTCCAGCAGTGACGTCACGTTAGCGGTAAGCCTAGCGCCATTCTCCCCGCTTTACAAGCTAAATCAATGGGAACTACTAGACACATCTGCAATCAGCAACAATTATTGAAGATTTCCAGAGGACTTCACCATTGAAATTCACCAGAGCTATATTGAAA